CTTTTATTCAAATCATAACCATACTAGAACTCCTAAAGATGCTAAGAAAATCTTGCCCTAATCTCCTTTGCTTGCCCCACAAGTAGGTCACGCTCAACCGCCCGCGCATACTCCTCGTCGCGCTCGGTATCGCGCGCACGCCTCCCATGCGTCGCCCTTCATGCGTGTTGCGCGCCCGCGCGTGCTCGTCCTTCGCGCGAGTGCCGCGCACGCCTGCTCGCTCGGCCCCTCTCTCGGCCCCTCTCTCGCGCTCGCCTATCGCTTCGCGCGTGTCACCACCCGTCGCGCCCTGCTCGCGCCCGATCGTCGCGCGCTTCATTGCGCCCGTCATCACTCGCGCGTCCACCTCATCGCAGCCGCCCTATGTGCACGCTGTCCACCCTACATCCACCCCTCGTGCACCATTCGTCATAGCCTTCATGCGCCGTGCGCGCCTTTCGCTCGCGCACGCCTTGCACCATTCGCCCACCTTACCGGGCACTATCTTCTCGCACTCGTCGTCAGCCCATTAATCACACTCGCGCCCATTTCCCGTCGCGTAGCTCGTCTTCGCACGGCCTAGACTCGCACGCCTCGCGGCTCGGTTGCCGTGTACTGCCGGTGCGCGTCTCTTAGTGCGTGTACGCACCCTTTTCCCACTCCTTCGGGCCCTTTCTCGCCTTTTCCCGTGCCATCCCTGCAGGCCATAATAGGTCTCGTCCTCAAGCTCGCAAGGGTCAATGACCACATCTTCATCACGGCGCCTAGGCGCTCCTAGGTGGTTAGGCGGCGCTTAGGCGGATCTAGGAGCTCCTAAGCGGGCTCAGCGGCAATTTTTTAGTCTTTTTTTTTTTAATTCTTTTTTAAATACTAGTTACATTATTGTGTTCTAATATTTTCTTTAAAACATATTAATATTATTATTTGAACTTAGGTGTGTGGATTTATAATAAATTGAGATAATTTTATTTTGTAGGTAGTTAAAATAAATAAAAAACAAGGTATTTAATATTGATTTCTAGGTCCCGACTTGGCGCTCTAGGCGCTAGGTGCTGGTCGAGCGCCTAGCGGACGCTAAGCGACTTTTAGAGCACTGGTAAATATAATGATATAGTAAATATTTATTGTGAGATACAATAATACTAACACTTAAATATATAAATTTTGTATACAAAACATTTATTTTTGTTATTTTTATGTATATTTATATGTAAAAAATACTATATATATAATTTTAAAAATTTTAAAATTAATTATACGGTTCAGCAATTGACCCGGTGACCCGACGGTTGAACTAGTGACCCAGTGACTCGGAGACCTGCCCCGGTCGATTTCCTGGCCGGGTTTAAAAACTATGGGAGGGAGCTTGAACTAAATTAGGTATTTACATGTTTTTAACTATTTAAATATTGGATTAATGATGTTTTCTGCATAAATTTACTAATTAAATTTCTACAAAATCTATACTACTCTAAAAGAACGAGTGTTTTTGTAAAAATATGAACTACCTAAAAAACCCTTACTTTGGCATATTTTTAATGGCAAATTAGTAATACACTAATACACATCATATTTTATATTTTTAAATATTAAAATGAATTACCTAATAAACCCTTACTTTGACATGTTTTTAATGGAAAATTAGTAATATACTAATGTCCATCATATCTTATATTTTTAATTATAACTAATATTTAATTAATTAAATACAAATACATGAACAAATCATTCCACACTACTAAAATCAACTACAATATGTTGGTTTGACACCATTAATTCTCACGAATTTATTTTCTTCCACATATCTCTAAAACTGTTTGATAGGATATAGAATTGTTGTTTTGAAAAATATCATAATTTTTAATATAATTTTAATAGTAATATTGTAATCACATTTCATAACTCTAATATATAAAAGTACCTTAAAGAAATTAAAATTAATCTAACAAAAAAAGCATAATAAACACTTATAAAACTAGAAATCGATATTGTTTTTTTCTCATAATGACCACAAAGTATAGAAACATTATTTTCAAAATAACCTATACAAAATGTGTAATAGTATGCGAGATTAATTGTTGAATGATTGTTCTGCAACCTAAACTTCTAATCAATTCAATTTCTTCGATACATAAGACCAAAATAATTTTATGAAATTGTATAATACTAAAACTTAATCTATTTGTTTTCACGTCATATGAGATACCACTTTAGTAACATAGATTAATTTTAACCATATAATTATCTACAAATAAATTAAAAATATCTCGAGAATCATAATATGATTTACATGTTGAAAATTAATTATTTTTAATCAAATAATTATATTCATATATTATCATTACTCATCTATCTATTAATATGTGTTATTATAATAAAATGGTTCTTAAGAAAAAAATGTACGAAATAAAAAATTTATATATTTGAGTATAAATGAGAAGATTATAATTATATATAATATAATATAAAGATATAAAATTAATTGATATAAATAAGACATATGATTCAAAAAAGTGCTATACTTTAATTTTATGTATTTTTTAACAAACCTAAATAAAAAAATGGAGGTAACTTACAACGATTCTCACGTTTTGGCTAGAGCGCCTATTCCCGATATATATTTGACACTGGTTTTCCGTAATGCTGAAATCATGGCGAATGCACCTTAGGTACAACGAAGCGAAACGAAGTGAAGTCACAGATAAAAGAAGGAAAAGACTAGGCCAGAGAAGGGAAATGAAATAATATTAGCTATGTGAATTAAAAAGACAAATAAATGAGTTGTACGTTAAACTATTATTCAATTACTGCTTGAAAAAGAACCCTATAATGGTGGTACCATATATGTATTCAGTGATTATGAAAATGACTTAGTTACCTAATATTTTATCAAACATTAGAAAAAATTGTAAACTTTTTAATCTAATAAATCGTATAAAAAGTACATTTTTATCAAATATATTACATTTACATTGTATCTTATGTGATTATAGTAATTGTAGCCTAATGAAAAAGATAATTTGAAAACATCATTATATAAAACACATACAAAAAATAACACAATACATATAAATGTGCTTTAATTATTTAGCAAATAAAATATTATTTCTCTATAGAATAAGAAACTAATAATATAATAGTAACACAATGAGAAAAAGAATACGTGTGAATTTTCTTAGAGAAGTATGAATACCAATATTTACAAACAAAAAGTCTTTGAAAATTACTACTCTTTTGTTGCTAGCGTTTAAATATATGGACTCTGTAAGAAATTGGTGTTCATAAATAATGATCCTATATTATTTATTTTTAATTTTAAATAATTAAAAAATCTAAAAATTTGTAATACATAATGTATATTTTAATCATGACTTCATAATAATAAACTTTGCAGATGACTAAGAGTATCGTAATATTCTTCTCCTATCAAATATTTTAACAAATGATATGCTTCTCAATATTTTCTCATTGTTTTGATTGTTTTGTTTTGTCATTGTTGGAGAATAAAGAACTGATCTTTATCTTGAATTTTATAATCATTTTGTATGATGAATAATGTTGGACAATAAAAGCATTAAAGAAGTTATTAGGCACACAAATATTGCATATTTAAAAGAATGTGAAAGATATTATGATAAACAATTCTAAAATCGTTGCAACAACCATGGTGGTCAATAATTTTCAAATAATAGATTATATTGTTCGTTTATATTCCAAATAAACAACAATGTCAGAGTATCAAAACAATTTTGAATGTTCGAATGAAGTTGTCACTTTTTATAGAAATATTTATAATCTCATCGGTATATTGTACTCGAACATATGTGCAATTACTTTAGAGGTACTTTCAAGTAATGTATGATGATTTCAAAAAATAATTTAGTACCTCCGGAGAAGTACATGTAACCAACCATGTAACCAAAATTTTGGAAGGTCAACTTTTATTTGGAGATAAAATTTATTCCCACCTCATGGGGCGATGCATCAATGGGGTAGGCACCAATATGTCTAGAGACAGAGGAATGTAGTAGTTTATACAATGATAAAAAATACCAGCAATTTTAATGACATAGTTAGTTATTTTATAGAGATATTTATTCATTGTTAGTAGAAGTACCTTATTATAAAGATTATACGATCATGAAGTTTGACTATATGTTGGGTCAGAATGTTTCTTAAGTATTTGAATAAAATTAACGTTTTGCCAAATGAATTAAGAGAAATTTTGCAATAATATTGATGTATTAGACTTCAACGAGTATGAATGTTTCTTATAAGAAAGATGAAAGAAAATTTTAGTGATTTTTGTATTAAGGATTTTTTTTTTATATATTTTAGTTGGAGGTTGTAAAACGTTATTTCACTCTTTTTATATTAGGACATCATTACGCTAATTCTAAATAAAAAAAAAATCACATATAAATTCATTTGTTCTATATTTTTATTTGATTCCTGCAATGATATGTTTAATAAATAAATTAATTTATTTTATAAACTTACTCAGCAAAAATCATTCGATACCACGTGCATTGCACGTGCACTTTACTAGTATATAAAAATATCAATCCAACCAATGCGTTTTTTTTCTAATCATTGAACTATTGAATCGGTAGCTCTAGTGTCCAATTTTAAAAGCAGTACATTGAAAATCAAAGTAAAAAAATTACACAATATGAATGACAATTAGAAAGAAACACCGTACATAAACATTCTTGGGTCCCATCCTTTTCCAAACAGATGCCATTTTATACCAGCTTAACCACTGAAAATGCTTAAAATTCAT